GGGGTTATTTTGTAAGGTTTTGTGCTTGTCCTGTTTTGTTTTATTTTGTTCTAAATAATATAAACCAATTTTGTTCTTGTTGCGTGTTTCCCCTTTTTTTCTTTGGTACAGCTAGTATCCAGCTACATTTACGATCTGGCACAATGACGATGGCGAGAATAATAACTGCGACACTAAGTCTTCTACTTTTAATGATTATTTTATCGTTGAATACTATGTCCAGAACGTCAGTTAGTAAGGGACGTCAATCAATAGCCAGTACGTTATAATAATAAAGTAATAAATAAAATTAAAATAAAGTACACTTCTATTTGGGCCAGAGGGGCACTTTGATTTACAAAGGCAAAGACACATACATATATACATACTATTACATACATTAATACATAATTATAAATACGTACATACAGAAATACATGCATAAATACATACATAAATACACAATATTACACAAATACATAACAGTTTACAACAATATGCCACTGTCGGTCGCCACTGTGCAGCGCCCTGTGTTTTGAGTTAGGGTTGTCGTGTCTTGCTCAAGGACACACCCCAATGACCACCCATCTGATTCCCGTGTCACCGACCTTTGCTTGACATTACTTGAGTCTAAACTCACTACTTACTTAGCCACAGTGGGTGGTTGGCGGGTGCTCTGGTGTGGTTTGCTTCTTCTTTCCTATGAAACATCTATCGTCCTTATCTCCACCTCTTGTTTTTTTATGTTTGTTACTCTCTTGTAACACCTGATCTTGTCTTTTGGCGCTCATATGTGAGGCAGCGTGGTGGAATCAGGCTCTCGTCAATTTTGAGGCATATTGAGTTATTGGTGTCATCTTAAAGCTTGTTTGTTTTGCATTCATTGAAAAAACTACCCTTCCATCTTCAATAGAAGTGGAGATATTTTGGATTGAAGGAGGTGGGGGGTCACCTGGTTTAAGAAGTAAAATTAGCGAGAAAATGGACGCCAAAGTTTGGTAAATTCCAAAGCTGGAGTGTCCATGGAAACTGTAAATTTATATTTGTGTGCCTTTAATCAACGTTTTTCGGTGAAATCCTCCAAGGAATGTATTTATAAATGGACATAAAAGGTGTTGAGCCAAAAAACAAAAATTTGATAAAAATTGCTAAGCAGGAGAAAACTGCTGTTTTCTTCGATTTTATTATTTTGACGAGAGCCTAATTCCACCACGCTGCCTCACATATGACCCTATGCAGTTGCGAGGGCCGTAAAACTAAAAACTTACTTAGCCACTATTTTTAATTATTATTGTATTATTGATCTTATATTACTCTACACTCTGCAAACTAAATGGTAATGGGCCGACGGAAACGTTCTGTTATGTACGATCTTTATTGTTATCAGCAATATTTAAAGATAGCGCATTAAGAACATAACCGTTACCGGAGCACATTACTAGGCCACTATAGTTAGGTCAAAAATGCATTGCACAACTTATTGTGAAATATCTCCTTACCTATCAAACATAGATTCTCCACCTTTTACACAATGACTTATATCAATTTGTCTTAACAGGTCAATATTTTAAAAACATCCCTGCACACTG